TTAGGTGTCTTTTCATATAATGACTTCTTTTGTGGGGTGTATATACCCAGTATTGGGATTACTAGGTGGAATGCTAGGTCTTTTTTTAATTCGTGGAGATATCGCCATACTGTTTTCCATAGAGGTAGAACCAATTACATTCCCACCAACAGTGTGCTAGCATTCCCTTTTCTTTGCATCCATGCCAACATCTGTTGTCTTTTGATATTTTATTATTAATAATACTTAAGGAATATGCACTTCTTTCAAGGAGATTTGTGAGAAGAGGAAGCGAAGAAATGGAGTCACGGCTAACAGAAGAAAAGATGAAAAGATGGACTTTCCTTTATTGCCTGTATTTACAGTTTTAATTGATGGTGAATTTGCAGTTTTGTTGAAGAAACTATGCAAATGGAAGGGTTTTTTTTGGTTCACTATTTAAAGAAAATTCTTTTACTGTATTTTCAGAAGCTTTCTTAATATTATTGACCTCGGTAGGTCCTGGCAGTCAAACTGCTCCCTTTAAAAAAAAAAATAAAATTAGATGCATTTGATCCTGTTTGGTTGGCATCACGGAAGTAGAGCTGGTAGAATTGGTCAGAATATTGATAAGTTTTAAAGGAAGACCAAACTGTATATCCTGGATTGAAGATGTAATGTGATTGTAAGAGAAGAAGAAAGAATGACTACCAAGATTCTCTTGTTATAGTTTTATTAACTGTCTGTCCATTCTTTCTTTAGTTATTTGAAATTATTAATGGACTTTTTCCCAGAAAAGGAAGATTTTATAGGGTTAACCCAGCTTGTAGCACTTTGCTATTGCAATAATAAATGTGTATGTCTATTTTCAGTGGCTGATAGAACAATGGATTTGAACTATAGCTTGGACTTACCAGATATTTGAACATTCTACCCAACAGCTGCAGAATATACATTCTATTTGTCAGCAGATGAAACATTCTCCAAGACAGACCATGTGATAGGCCACAAAACGAGTCTCAATAAATTTAAGAAAATTGAAATTCTATCAAGTACTCTTTCAGAACACAGTGGGATTAAGTTGAAAATCAACCCCAAAAGGAGCCCTCAAAACTATGCAAATACATAGAAATTAAATAACCTGCTCCTGAATGATTGTTGGGACAAGAATGAAATCTAGATGGAAATTTAAAAATTCTTTGAAAAGAATGATAACAGCGACACAACGTACCGAAAACATATTAAAACCTGTGGGATACAGCAAAGGCAGTGCTAAGAGGAAAGTTCAAAGCCTTAAATGCCTGCATCAAAGAGTCTGAAGGAGCACAAGTAGACAATCTAAGGTCACAACTCATGGAACTAGAGAAGCAAGAACAAACCAAAGCCAAACCCAAAAGAAGAAAAGCAATAACCAAGATCAGAGCAGAACAAAATGAAATTGAAACAAAAAAAATACAAAAGATAAATGAGACCAAAAGCTGATTCTTTGAAAAGATAAATAAAATTGATGGACCACTAGTGAAATTAACCAAGAAAGAAGAGAGAAGATCCAAATAAGCTCAATTAGAAATAAATTGGGAGATATTACGACCAGTACCACAGAAATACAAAGAGATCACTCAAGGCTGCCATGAGCACCTTTCTGTGGGTAAACTAGAAAACCTAGAGGAGACTGATGAATTCCTGGAAATAAACAACCCTCCTAGATCAAACCAGGAAGAATTAGAAACCCTGAAAAGACCAATAACAAGCAGCCAGATTGAAATTCTAATAAAAAAAATTGCCAACAAAAAAAAGTCCAGGACCAGACAGATTCACCACTGAATTCTATCAGACATTCAAAAAAGAATCGGTATGAATCCTGTTGACACTATTCCACAAGATAAAGAGGAAATCCTCCCTAAATCATTCTATGAAGCCAACATCACCCTAATACCAAAACCAAGAAAGGACATAACAAAAAAAGAAAAGTACAGACCAATATCACTGATGAATATACACGCAAAAATTCTCAACAAAATACTAGCTAACCAGATCCAACAACTTATCAGAAAGGTACTCCACCACGATCAGATGAAACCCACTGCATCCCTGCATACCAAAAAATGCAATCATGGTTTAACATACACAAATCAATACATGTGATACACCATGTAAACAGAATTAAAAACAAAAGTCATATTATCATCTCAATAGATGCAGAAAAAGCATTGGACAAAATCCAGCACCGCTTTATGATTACAACCCTCAGCATAATAGTCATAGAAGGGACATAACTTAAAGTAGTAAAAGCCGTCTATGACAAACCCACAGCCAATATAATACTGAACGGGAAAAAGTTGAAAGCATTCCCTCTGAGAACCGGAACAAGACAATGATACCCACTCTCACCACTTCTATTCAACATAGAACTGGAAGCCCTAGCCAGAGCAATCAGACAAGAGAAAGAAATAAAGGGCATCCAAATCAGTAAAGACGAAGTCAAACTGTTGCTGTTTGCTGATGATAAGATTGTATACCTAGAAAATTCTAAAGACTCCTCCAAAAGCTCCTAGAGTTGAAAAATAAACTCAACAAAATTTCAGGATACAAAATTAATGTTCACAAACTAGTAGCTCTGCTATACATCAACAGCAACTAAGCTGAGAAACAAATCAAGAACTCGACCCCTTTTACAATAGCTGCAACAAAATAAATAAAATACTTAGGAATATACCTAACCAAGAAGGTGAAAGACCTCTACGAGGAAAACTACAAAACACTGCTGAAAGAAATCATAGATGACACAAATGGAAACATATCCCATGCTCTAGCATCCCGTGTGAAATTTCAACATTGTGAAAATGACCATACTGCCAAAAGCAATCTACAAATTCCATGCAATTCCCATCAAAATACCACCATCATTTTTCACAGAAAACAATCCTAAAAAAAACAATCCTAAAATTCATATGGAACCAAAAAAGAGCCCACATACCAAAGCAAGACTCAGCAAAAAGAACAAATGTGGAGGCATCACATTACCTGCCTTCAAGCTATACTGTTAATATAATGTCATAGTCATCAAAACAGCATGGTACTGGTACAAAAGTCAATAGACCAATAGAACGGAATAGAAAACCCAGATATAAAGTCAAATAGTTACTGCCAACTGATCTTTGACAAAGTAATCAAAAATATAAAGTAGAGGAAATGATGCCCTATTCAACAAACGGTGCTGGGATAATTGGCAAGCCACATGTAGAAGAACGAAACTGGATCCTCATCTCCCACCTTATACAAAAAATCAGCTCAAGATGGATGAAGACTTAAATCTAAGACCCAAAACTATAGAAATTCTAGAAGATGACATCAGAAAAATCCTTCCAGACACTGACTTAGGCAAAGGCCTCATGATCAGTAACTCTAAAACAAATGCAACAAAAGCAAAAAGATAAATAGATGGGACTTATTTAAACCAGAAACTTCTGCACAGCAGAAGAAACAATCCGGAGAGTAAACCCACAACCCACAGAGTGGCAGAAAATCTTTGCAACCTGTACATCCAACAAAGGACTAATATCCAGAATCTACAAGGAACTCAAACAAATGATCATGAATAAACCAAACAGTCCTATTTTGTAAAAAATTTCAAATGTATGCAAAAGTAGAGAACCATCACCCCTAGATTATTTTAAAGCAAATTCCAGCTATTATATAATTTAATACATAAAACCTAAAGTTTTTCAGGGGACCAGTGTGTGATGGGAAAGACATGGTTGAAAAGAAAGACTGAAAGCAAGTCATAGGGCATAATGGGTTTCTGAAGAAATAGTTGTAGCCAGCAGAAGTATGGGCTATTGTGCAGAGGATATGGAAGTCAAAGAAGATCAATCTCTGTGGATCACTGACAGGATTGCTGGAATGCCTGAGAAGGAAATAACATCAACATCTTTATGCACAACTTACTAGGTGGCCAGACACCCTGAACTGATATTTCTTCTCCAGTTCAGATGAATGACTGGGATATTACTTAAAATTCTATTGCATATCTGTTGCAAGGTAAAGCAGTTCCTCTTTCCCTTCTCTGATTATTTCTTATCAGCTACAGTTCTGGGCAGGGTGTGAGGGTGGTTGCCTAGAACGGGGTTTCCAAAGTTCCTTAATTGTGACCTCTGACCCTTTTTGTTTCTTCCATGTCCATACCCAGAGTCCAAACCCAAGGAATACAGTGGGATGACATTATGAATTAATCTTAAGGAAATACCTTATGTACCAAAAGAACTGTGTGATTGTGCTGATTTATATGAGCAGAAATTTGGAGTCTATGCTTGGAAATGAATTGTCAGGGTTTTAGACCAGGGAAAGTGGAATTTATTGTCGGGTCAGGCACAACTAATTAATGCTGATGCATCCTCATAGCTTAGCTCCCACTTGTCAGTGAGAACTCTCACCTTTCTCCAAGAATCTGCAGGAGAACAAGAGCCTCTGAGATTTTGATTCACTTGAAAAGAAATAGAGAAATAAGAGGGCATACCTAAAACCCAGGTGTCTGAGAGACAGAGTGGGGGTGGCCCTCAACTGGGGGGATGGGTAAAGAAGACACAAGTGTTTTCTCTACTTCTGTCCCCAAGTCCTGCAAATGATCTAGATCTATGCTCTCCCAGAACCTCTGGAGAAGAAGGGGGAGGATTTTCTTTCAAGGTCGAGTGCCTTGCCCCCAGGATCTCCAGCTTTTTACCATTGCACAGGTTAGGAAAATGCACACCTTCCTGGTAGATTCTGCACCGTGGAGAAAAGGCTTCATGAGAAGTATGGAGGCTGGAATTCACACCCCTCATCCTCACTCCATCATCTTTATCTGTGCATTTCCCTGGTGACCCCTTCCTCCCCCAGTACCTCCCTCATGGTCATTTCTGCTGCATCACAGACACAGGCCTCCAAACAGGTGTGGTTGTGACTGAGTCTGTTTCTGACACCCCACCCCTTCTCACTCTGTGGGGAAACCTTCCTGGGAGGGGCTTGGAATCTGGAATGAAGCCAGAGGGCAGGGCTGATAGGGACCCTTTAAATTCTGCAACTCAGAGATTCACACAGAAGCCTGGACACAATTCAGAAGAGCCACCCAGAGGGAGACAACAATGTCACTGCTATCCGTGAGTTAAAAAGGCACAGCCTTCAATAATTTCAGGTCACACCGAAAAGGGAAGAGGGAGATTTTATGGGATGAATATGTGAACATTTCTACTATGAATGCTTTACTGAGAGTTGTGGGTGTGTGGAAGAGAGACCCCAGGGCTATGGTATCTGAGATGCTTGTGGGGTCTGGGGTGTGGATGCTGGACCATTGTAATCCTCTGGGAGCATGTGATGGTGTCTGATGACAGTGAACTCTGCTGAAAATGATGTGACTTTAGATGGGAAGTGTATGACCCTCCAGGATATGGGTGGGTGTGTAAGTGATCGTAATCAGATGACTGTGCTTTGTCTTTATGACTGTGATGTGTGTGTGAGCACAGCCGGACCAGTGTGTGAGCATCTTTATATGCACAGTGAGCAGGTGTGTGTGACTCAGTGGTGTGGCTCTGTGTGACTGTGTGTGTGCTGGGATGTGACTGGGTGTTGAACTGGGAACATGCATGTGGCCTTCTGTGCATGTAAAGTTTCCTCCCCATGTAGCAGTACCTCTGACTAAGCAGGTGTGCAACTTCCCTTGTGCGTCAACGTGGATTCCGGTGGCAGAACTGGTGGGATCTTGAGGACCTTGAGTTACTGAGGATTTATTTCTGAGCATTTATGAGAGCAGAATGCATGAATCCTCAGCTGCCTTTTACCAAGCAGAGTGGGGTGAGAAACACAGACTGTGGGGCTGATGGTTCCTTAGGTGGAATCTGCACACGGTGACCCCCTGCTCCTGCCTCCAGCCTCGGGTCTCTCCCTGTCCTTCCCATTGAGCGCCAGGATGGTGAACAGATTCTGATTCACTAGAGAAGGACATTGAGGGACTTGATTTAAGAGACTGAATCATCCAAAACCAGGAAGGTAGAAGTTTAGCCTCTGTTCAGGCAGAACTTACAGTGGATGTTCATCAAGATGTTTGCTGAGGCCTGTAATCCCAGCACTTTGGGTGGCCGCATTGAAAGGACCATGTCAGGCCAGGACTAGTAGACCAGCCGGGGAGACATAGCAAGGTTTCATCTTTCCAAAAATTTAAAAATGTATTAAATGTGGTGCTGCATGCCTGTAGTTCCAGCTACTTGGGGGCAGATGCAAGAGGATCACTGAAGCCTAGGCCTTTAAGCCTGCTGTAATTTTTTTTTTTTTTTTTTTTTTTTTTTTTTTTTTTTTTTTGAGACAGAGTCTCGCTCTGTTTCCCAGTCTGGAGCGCAGTGGTACAATCTCGGCTCACTGCAACCTCCACCTCCCAGGTTCAAGTGATTCTCCTACCTCAGGTTCCCGAGTAGCTGGGATTACAGGCATGTGCCACCACTCCTGGCTAATTTTTGTATTGTCAGTACAGACGGGGTTTCCCATATTGGCCAGGCTGGTCTTGAACTCCTGACCTCAAGTGATGCGCCCACCTTGGCCTCCCAAAGTGCTGAGATTACAGGCGTGAGCCACCGCGCCCAGCCTGCAGTGAGTTTTGATGGTAGTACTGCATTCCAGCCTGGCTGACAGTGTGATACCCTGTTTCAAAAAGGAAAAATACCATCCGCTTATAGATTCTATCCAATAACTTCCCTGACTCACAATCTTCATTTGTGCAAGTACTGCGGTTGTGCTCTCAGCAATGTGTGCCCCTTCTGGGAAGGACGCCCATTGCCCTTGATGATTGTGATGTATGTACCTCCCACACACGGGGGTTTCCCGTTCTCTCCTGTTCATTTCCCTCTCTTTCAACAAGTGTTGTTTCTTACTGGCGTGAATCTCTCTACTGTTACATCCTCACATCTTGCTTTCACAGTTTCAGAGTTGAAGATGATCACAGGTCTGTGTTCCACAAGGATCCTCCTTGTTTGTTAGAGGACCCCCAACAGGTCCTATACATGCCAGGGATTAGGCTACATATCCTAACTACTGTATTACAAAAACATGATACAAAGTAGGTATTTTGGATTATCATCTTTGTATTGGGGAAACTGAGGCAGGGAGCGTTTAAGCAACAGATCTAAGGTCCCACTGCTGGTTGGGCAAAGTGACTTGCCCCTGTAATCCAGCAGTTTGGGAGGCTGAGACCAGAGGATCCCTTGAGCCTACACACTCCAGACCAACCTGGGAAACATCATGAAACCCCAATGCTCCAAATACATATAAAATTAGCTGGGTGTGGAGCGGTAGTCTCAGCTACTCAAGGAGCTGAGGTGAGAGGATGGCTTGAGTCTGGGAGGCTGAGGTTGCAGTGGGCTGTGATTGTGCTAATGCACTACAGCCTGGGTGATATGATAAGACTTTGTCTAAAAAAAAAAAACGTTCAAAATATGTTAACATCTCACTGCCAGTATTCAGCACAATAAAGGATCTAACTGAGGCAGCTCAGTTTCTGAAGCTCTGCTCCTAATTATGGGCCCCGTTGTCTTCAAAAATACGGGATCCTGACTGAGGTAGGGTGGGAGCAGGGAGGCCTGAGTCTACCATTTGATCTCTAACTGGCTGCACCACGGGAATCTGTTATGGGGGGGAGGCCGCACCTGGCCCTGCCCCTCTCACCCACTCTCAATTCCCTGGCAGGTGCCACACACAGAGTCTGTGTCCTTGTCTACTGGATCTACTGTGACAATCAAAGGGAGACCGCTTGTCTGTTTCTTGTGAGTACTCCCTGGTGCAGGGATGGGAGGTGGAAGGAGGAAGGATGTACAGCGGCTGCACGGGGGCTAGTCATGGGTCTAGGAGAAAAGGACACTCAAGGTTTGGGGCTGTGGTACTATATCTATTAAAGTGCATAGAATTGTCAGAAAATGGACACTTCATATGACCAAGTCAGTGACTATGGCTCAGTTTCCATCTGTGGATGAGGCGTGGAGCATCTCTTTCCACGCATGGAGAACACAAAGAGCTGAAGCAGCGCCACAGTGACAAGGCCTAGAATACCAACAAGTCTTTGCTCCACTATGGAAGGGGCAAAGAGACTTGTGTGTGTGTCTTGTGTGTGTCCCACAAGAAAGGGACCTGCCCAACACTGTGTGCTCTGCCCCCAGCAATGAACCACATCTGCAGGTGGATTTCCACACCGAGATGAAGGAGGACTCAGACATTGCCTTCCATTTCCAAGTGTACTTTGGCAATCGTGTGGTCATGAACAGCCGTGAGTTTAAGATCTGGAAGGAGGAGGTGGAATCCAAGAATATGCCCTTTCAGGATGGCCAAGAATTTGAACTGAGCATCTTGGTCCTGGAAGATAAGTACCAGGTGAGCACCCCTGGAGCTTCCTGCATCTGGCTTCCATGGGCTTTCAGAGCAAGAGGCAGCTCTTCATGCCATAGCTCCAGATAACTCCCTCTGCTCTATAACTCCCCCTGTCCCGGGCTTTTCATCACCCACAACTCCCCTTGTCCCAGGCTTTTTAATCACCCATAATTCCCCTTGTCCCGGGCTTTTCATCACCCATAACTCTCCCTGTCCCAGGCTTTTCATCACCCATAATTCCCCTTGTTCCAGGCTTTTCATCACCCACAACTCCCCTTGTCCCAGGCTTTTTAATCACCCATAATTCCCCTTGTCCCAGGCTTTTCATCACCCACAATTCCCCCTTTCCCAGGCTTTTCATCACCCATAACTCCCCCTGTCCCAGGCTTTTTAATCACCCATAATTCCCCTTGTCCCAGGCTTTTCATCACACACACAGGGGTTCCCTTTACTTTTCTCATTTCTCTCTCTCATTCAACAAGTGTTGTTGCTTGCACTGCCGTCACCTCTGCTTGCACTGCCATCCTCAGCTTTTTTCCCATTCCTGATCAGGGTCAATGTTGGTTCACTTGCCATTTTTCCAAAAATGAAGAATATCCTCTATGTTTCCCATAGCTCTCATTTCCATTTATGATGTTATTTAAATTTTCATGTAGCTAAATGGATAAGATATACATATGAATAAAATTGTTTTAGTCAGTCCAATATGAAGGCTTCTTCTCACTCCTCAATCCCAATCCTCAGGACAATATTACTAGCTTCTCTACTCTTCTTCCACAGATAGTCTACCCTTAGAAAAGCATATACGTATGCCCATATATATGCTTTCATTTCTTTTAAACAAATGCTGGTATAAGTGTCTCTACACATTATACTTTAGGAATGACAGTTGAATTGTACCCAAAGAATACATATTGGGGAAATAATCTATCCGTGGTGCTGCCTCATTTTATAAGGATTATATAGTATCCCCCAGAAGGATTTTCCCAGCTTGCTGCTCTTGACCCTTTACAAGAGTTGGTTTCCAATGTTTTGCTCTCACAGATGTTACTGTATTAAGCTTTCTAATCAACCCTTTTGTCATTGCCAACTTTTCCCTATTTATATTGGAACATGATTATAAAGAAATGGAATAACTGGTTCAAAGATGCATGGGTTTTAAATTTGAGAATGAAACCCAAAATATGACTCCCTGTGTAGCCTCAGTAATAAAAAACGTGATCAAACTTTCTGACATTTCAAATGGGTAGGCCAAAAGATTCACATTTTATTCACATTAAAGTCAGAGGTGCTATTCTATGTTTATAAGCTGTAAAAGATAATATCCTATGTTTTATCACATTAATCCAGTCCCACCTCTCTGAGAACACTTGAGTTTCCTTCCTTGCCACCACCAGCTTGGATCTGAGCAATTCCAGAGAGAAACTGGGTCATCAGCAGTAAGCAACAGTCATAGTTTGTGTAACTGAAATGTATGCATTCAGCGAACATTGCTGAGCACTGACCCCGTGGCTGGCCCTGTGCAAGATGCAGGGATTCAAGTTTAGGAAACAAGTCCCTGGCCTTGGAGATCTTCCAGCATAGCAGGGAGGCTGAGCAACTATGGCCCATGTGACACGGAGTGATAGAGCCTCACTGGAGAAATGAGAGGAAACATTGAAAATACAGAGAACAGCTGTCTCAAATCGTTACCAAAGGTAGTCTGCAAAAAAAGAAATGTGTTCTCCAGGTCCAATTATATAATGAGGCATTTTCTGGTTGGATGTTTCAGGTACTACGACACCATAGAGAGCAGGCTGAAAGCTTGTTTGGTGGAATACTGTCTTTCTGATGTATTTTTCCCTTCTGTAGGTAATGGTCAATGGCCAAGCCTATTACAACTTTAACCATCGAATCCCGGTCAGTTCTGTGAAGATGGTGCAAGTGTGGAGAGATATCTCTCTGACCAAATTTAATGTCAGCAATTGAAAGAGATAACCAGACTTCATGTTGTCAAGGCATCTCTGATCTACGTGAGCATGGGATTCCCAAAGCCAGCTAACGGCGTGATCTTTTCTCACTTCAATCCTTACTTTTGCTCATTAAAACTTAATCCAACTTCACAGAATTTGGTTCTTGCTTTCATGGGGAGAAAGATAAAGTGGTCATCATCAAGAGGGCTTGGGGGATTTTATGGGTGGTGTGAATGAGTCAAAGAGGATAAATCTTCCTGAGACACAAAAAGTAAGTGACAAGGCCAGTGAAATGTCTGAGAAGACATTAGCAACTACATCCTTCTATAGCATCGACTATATGTCAGACTCTCTGAACCAAAATCCCTACACAATTTCAGATGAGTCACTGAGGTGTAGCAATGGGATTGGAGGCTTGAATAACTGAGCCATGACAGGGTGGGTAGAGCTATATCTGAGCTGAGCAGAACTGAGTAGGAAGCCCACTCTTTACACTGAAAACAGGGGAGCAGGAACCCTTGGGGGCTCCCATTACTCTGCCTAAACCCCATATCTCATATGTCCCTCCAATTAACTTGGAAAAATGCCAAGAAGAAAATCACCAGAGAAAGAAACTCATGGGCTTGTCCCCTCAGTTCAGGAACAACGGTATGCAACACCATTTTTCGAAAGGTAGAGCACAGATGCAGAAATTGGATTTGTTCATTTAAAGAGTACTCATGGGTGATCATGCCCTTCTCACTTCCTCTTTGCAGACTGAGAAAGGAAAAAGACACTTGACAGAAAAGGAGCTGTAGCCTCAAACAGTAAAAAGGGGAGATACTACTTTCCAGAGTGTAAATCTTGGTCATAGGTGGATAGAAGGCAAACTCTTTGATCAGGGCACACAATGACGGCTCTCACTGATAGTCTCTTCTGTAGGCCTCATTCATCTCCACCCACAGACACAAGGTTAGGACACTTCCATTGCCACTCCCTGCAGTGCCCCCACTGCCTCCCCTCACCCAGTAAATCCTAACCATTGATCTCAGAAGACCCCTTCTAATGCCCCAGGCTAACCAAGAGTAAATGTTCTCTCTGGAGTGTCTCCTTTGGAGAGAATTCTGGGCCAGCCCCCTCCATCTGAAATGCTCTAAAGACTTTAATCCTCAGAGTGTCTTGATCCCTGTCTTCCCAGTAGGTCTCTGTGTTTATTTTGGACAATTTATTTCTATTCACCAAGCAGAAAGGCAGACACCTGCTTGACATTTCAGGGATTCAATCGACTTTCTGGCCACTCTCCTTGAAATAAGAAATTATCAGCATGAGATCAGGAGAATTTTGCGTGGAAGACAATGTTTCAATAGCCTCAAGCTAGAAGTCGCCCAATATCTACCAAGAATAAAACTGCTGAATATGTGTTGGCCAATTTATAAAACTCCAGAGTGGAGACCAGTGAAAAGGAAGGATCTACAGCTCTACACGGCAGCATAGATGAATCCTAAAAACAGAAATGTTTTAGAAAAGATGCATGATGCAAGGAAAAAAAATCCAAGATAAACATCTACAGGCAAAATTCAACAAAGTGATAAAACTAAAGCAAAGCCAAAAAGAAGGGCAGAAGCATGGTTGCCAGTAGGTGCAAGAAGGTCACATGGTAGGGAAGGAACACAGGAGTCAATGGGTGTTAGCAACAGGCCACAACTATAATTGTGGTGGCTACATAAGTACTAGTTTAATCATGAATTCATCATAATATACATTTTTTTGTTAACTTGGATCAAGTTTTAAAAAATAGTTTAAATTCACAGTCAATAAAACTAAAGAGTAAAACAGAAAGAGAGGAGGGAGGGAGAGGGATTTGAATTCATTTCTTCTTTAAATTCCTAATATAGATTTTAAGGATGTTTTCTGTTATAACAAAGAGAACTTGAGGAGGGGTCCTGAGTGCTCCGCCCCAAGTGAAGACAGCATTGTAGCTGAAGTCTGATCACCTGCACCTGTCCCTGTCTTCATGCAGGTTTTGAGCTAAGTAGCACACAAATCAAGGACGAGACTTAGGAATCTCACTTTTCTCCCAGAATGTGAGTATCTGAGATTTTATTGCACATGGACACCCAGAGAAAAATGAGAGAGTGTAGATGGAGCCCAGGTGTGTGAGAGATGGAGTGTGAGTGGCCCTCACCTGGCAAAGGCAAGGGGCCTGGATAGGGTCAGGATGACACAGAGACTCTCTCTACCTCTCTCCCCAGGTCCTGTTGAGGATCAAGGTCTTTGGTGCCCCAGAATCTCTGAAAGAGAAAGAGAGAATTTTTATCTTACATGGTTGAGTGTCTTGCATTGAGAATTTCCATTTTAAAAATATCATCCAAGTTAGAAAAATGCACACATTGTGGGGGGGATGGCCAAGATGGCCAAATAGGAACATCTCCAGTCTCCAGCTCCCAGCATGAGTGACACAGAAAATGGGTGATTTCTGCATTTTCAGCTGAGGTACCGGGTTCATGTCTCTGGGGCGTGTCAAACAGTCGGTGCTGGTCAATGGGTGCAGCCCAACCAGTGAGAGCTGAAGCAGGGTGAGGCATCGCCTCACCTGGGAAGAGCAAGGGGGAAGGGAATTCCTTTTCCTAGCCAAGGGAAACTGAGACACACAACATCTGGAAAATCGGGTCACTCCCACCCTAATACTGTGCTTTACCAAGAGTCTTAGCAAATGGCACGCCAGGAGATTATATCCCACGCCTGGCCCGGGGGTCCCACGCCAACGGAGCCTCCCTCCTTGCTAGCACAGCAGTCTGAGATCTAACTGCAAGGCGGCAGCAAGGCTGGGGGAGGGGCGCCCACCTTTGCTGAGGCTTAAGTAGTTAAACAAAGCCCTGGGAAGCTCAAACTGGGTGGAGCCCACTGCAGCTCAAGGAGGCCTGCCTGCCTCTGTAGACTCCACCTATGGGAACAGGGGATAGCTAAACAAGAAGCAGCAGAAACCTCTGCAGATGTAAATGCCCCTGTCTGACAGCTTTGAAGAGAGCAGTGGTTCTCCCACTGTCAACATTAGACAGATCAACAACACAGAAAGTTAACAAGGATATCCAGGAATTGAACTCAACTCTGCACCAAGCAGACCTAATAGACATCTACAGAACTCTCCACCCCAAATCAACAGAATATACATTCTTCACAGCACCACATCGCACTTATTCCAAAATTGACCACATAGTTGGAAGTAAAGCACTCCTCAGCAAATGTAAAACAACAGAAATTATCACAAACTGTCTCTCAGACCACGGTGCAATCAAACTAGAACTCAGGACTAAGAAACTCAACCAAAACCACCCAACTACATGGAAACTGAACAGCCTGCTCCTGAATGACTACTGGGTACATAACGAAATGAAGGCAGAAATAAAGATATTCTTTGAAACCAATGAAAACAAAGATACAGCATACCAGAATCTCTGGGACACATTTAAAGCAGTGTGTAGAGGGAAATTTATAGCACTAAATGCCCACAAGATAAAGCTAGAAAGATCTAAAATTGACACCCTAACATCACAATTAAAAGAACTAGAGAAGTAAGAGCAAACACATTCAAAAGCTAGCTGAAGGCAAGAAATAAGTAAAATCAGAGCAGAACTGAAGGAGATAGAGACACGAAAAACCCTTCAAAAAATCAATGAATCTAGGAACTGGTTTTTTGAAAAGATCAACAAAATTGATAGATGGCTAGCAAGACTAATAAAGAAGAAAAGAGAGCAGAATCAAATAGATGCAATAAAAATGATAAAGAGGATATCACCACTGATCCCAAAGAAATACAAACTACCATCAGAGAATACTATAAACACCTCTACGCAAATAAACTAGAAAACCTAGGAGAAATGGATAAATTCCTGGACACATGCACACTCCCAAGACTAAACCAGGAAGAAGTTGAATCCCTGAATAGACCAATAGCAGGCTCTGAAATTGAGGCAATAATTAATGGCTTACCAACCAAAAAAAATTCAGGACCAGATGGATTCATAGCCGAATTCTACCAGAGGTACAAGGAGGAGGTGGTACCATTCCTTCTGAAACTACTCCAATCAATAGAAAAAGAGGGAATCCTCCCTAACTCTTTTTAGGAGGCCCACGTCATCCTGATACTAAAGCCTGGCAGAGACACAACAAAAAAAGAGAATTTTAGACCAATATCCCTGACCAACATTGATGCAAAAATCCTCAATAAAATACTGGCAAACCGAATCCAGCAGCACATCAAAAAGCTTATCCACCATGATCAAGTGAGCTTCATCCCTGGGATGCAAGGCTGCTTCAACATACGCAAATCAGTATACATAATCCAGCATATAAACCAAACCAAAGGCGAAAACCACATGATTTTCTCAATAGATGCAGAAAAGGCCTTTGACAAAATTCAACAGCCCTTCATGCTAAAAATTCTCAATAAATTCGGTATTGATGGAACATATCTCAAAATAATAAGAGCTATTTATGACAAACCCACAGCCAATATCATACTGAATGGGCAAAAACTGGAAGCATTCCCTTTGAAAACTGGCACAAGACAGGGATGCCCTCTCTCACCACTCCTATTCAACATAGTGTTGGAAGTTCTGGCTAGAGCAATCAAGCAAGAGAAAGAAATAAAGGGTATTCAGTTAGGAAAAGAAGAAGTCAAATTGTCCCTGTTTGCAGATGACATGATTGTATATTTAGAAAACCCCATCATCTCAGCCCAAAATCTCCTTAAGCTGATAAGAAACTTCAGCAAAGTCTCAGGATACAAAATCAATGTGCAAAAATCACAAGCATTCTTATATACCAGTAACAGATAAACAGAGAGCCAAATCATGAATGAACTCCCATTCAAAGTGGCTTCAAAGAGAATAAAATACCTAGGAATCCAACTTACAAGGGATGTGAAGGACCTATTCAAGGAGAACTACAAACCACTGCTCAGTGAAATAAAAGAGGACACAAACAAATGGAAGAACATTCCATGCTCATGGATAGGAAGAATCAATATCGTGAAAATGGCCATACTGCCCAAAGTAATTTATAGATTCAATGCCATCCCCATTAAGCTACCAATGACTTTCTTCACAGAATTGGAAAAAACTGCTTTAAAGTTCATATGGAACCAAAAAAGACCCCGCATTGCCAAGACAAT